ATTACTTACCGATAGATGGTCGAAAAATTCCCACTGGCAAACTTCCGCTGCTGTCTCTAATAATTACCTCCATGATTGCTTTTGTAAACGTATAAGTGTTGGGCCACTGTGCGGCGGCTCTGTCGAAAATTATTAGTTGTACTCTTATTTTCTACATACATTGTATATATTTGTTCAATTTACTTATTGCATTACAAAATAATAAAAATATACACCTTAATATCTTCTCGTCGATCGTGCCTTTGGACGATGTCCGCATTAGAATAAGAAATTCTTCAGACTCAATTGGATATTTGTAGAAACATTCTTCTATGTGTGTTACCGTGGGCAAGCAATTAGTAGTTATAGTCGATACGTGAATGAATGACTACGAAGGAAAACTTGGTAAATAAAATGTAAAACTTTAGAGACGAATAATTACCTTTAAGTTTGGCATACGTTTGGCCAAGTTTAAAATAGCGCAGGTGCCGTACACGTTTATTTTTGTAGCGACTTTTATGTCTTCATTGAAGCGTACAGTCGCTGCTAAGTGGAAAATTATCGATACCTGCGATAAAATATATTTTTATCAATTGAAATTTTGCTCACTTGTTTGCATTACTATGAATTCTTTTTCAACTATACGATAAAAGCAACTTTGAGAGAAGTGGTCAGTGGAATCTAAATGGCTCACCTCACTTATCACTTGGTCTATATCATGCTTCGTAAGTCCTAGGCACTCTTCGTCCAATTCACCAACTTGCAAGAGGGGCACGACCTTCTCATGAAAATTCGGCACCTCCTCCTTTATTCGCTGGAACAGCTATGGATGATTGTTATAACGTCTATAAGAACTTACCGCGACAATTTCACAAGATCTAGACGTCATTACTTATTACTTATGCCATTCTTAGGAATTGCTCAAACTTTCGAGGCGATTTTTAAAAGCAGCGTCTACTCATCCTTCCTTGCCGTTCTAGCTTACACGCTGAGTCATGAAACTGACGTTCGTGAAGCTCATAGCCTCATGAGTGTAAATAATTAAATCTTATAAAAAACGCGTTAATGATAGCATTTTATGATTAAGATAAAATCTATTACTATATCATAATTACAATTTCTCAGATATGATACGTCATACACATCAGTTATATAATAGCTAAATTTCACGCATAAGAAACTATTTTTAGTTAGATTCTTTCAGCCTCTAAAAAGCTCTTTAAAGAGGGACTCTATGAATAGATTCTAATGCCTCAAACTGTATACTGTAAGTGTGAATTGTGTGATTCGTCAGGCAAGCAAGAGTGACAAAAAGAGATGATCAGACATAAACTTCAAAAATCGCTTCGAAAAATTAAGTAATTCCTAACACTCATTATGCTTACGGAACTCTCGAAGATTTCGGCCAGTCTACTCGTGGCGCTCTTGTTTTTCTTTGATCTTATCATCATGTATATCTTGGAGATATTGGGACAACTTCGCAGCAATTTCTCAATCAAGACCTTTCCGAGGAATCCAGTTCCGCCTAATTAATCATATTCCACCATTATTGTTTGACCTATGACGTCAACTGATAGAACTAATTTTCGCTTTTTGATGTTATATTCGTCGTGAATTTGTTTTCAACTTTTCGTAAACATTGCAATGTATTTCGTCAAGGAAAGGAACGAACTGAAACCGCGAATTTCGTCAATGTCATCCAAGTGTTGACACCGTTAAGCTTCAAGTTTTTCCCCTTTTTGAAGAAGAGTACTGAAATGTTCGCGGAATGTCGGGAACAAATTCTCGAAAAATGCGACAGTAATCCGGGATCTAAATCGAGTACTAGTCCAAAACCTCGGTATCGGTATGAGTGTCAATTTTTATTTAATGTTTCTTTGTTGATCACATCGCACATATACAATAATAATTTATACAATAAATACCTGTAATGAAGATCGACTGGTTCGCATAGAATGTTTGTATCGGCGTTCCTTGAATTTTGGTATTGTTTCCGCAATACACAATTTTGTGTTGATTAAAATCGTTAGTATGTAACAAATGATCGCTCATCCTGTCAGTATCTGTGTTCAATACCTGCATGAAGTAATACTGTCCTTATTTTTAATTTTAGCTACGATCTGCGAGTAGATATATGTAACGTAACACTAATTTCACTAAGACAGTACGACACTTATATACTATAAAAGTTAAACCAAAAAAATAAGCAAAAAACAAAATCGTATATTATGTCAACATTTTTAGTAGAAAATTTTAGAAAGATTTTTGGTGAATTGTTCTGCTGCTGTTTTTAATGTAGACTGACAAGTCACGTCTCTAAAACGGAGATTTCCCATTTCCCTTCTAAGTCCATTATTGGTAATGGGTAGTGGAGACTCGGAAAATTTTTCTTTTCCCCTACTCTCCAGTTTCCCCCAACTTTCCGGATTGTGAATATCTAACATGCCCAACAAACGAGCACCGTAGTTATATACCAGTAATATAACATAGATATGTAATGTCAGCACAACCATGTGGTTTGTTATGTAACTGTTATGTGTTACATAACATACATAACGTGTAACAGTTACATGAAATAATATATGGTTGAGTTGACATTCAAACATCAATGTTATGTTACTGATACTTATGGTTTGCTTGTGGGTGCTAGTTATGCTGTTATACATAACACGGATGTACATAACTCAATGCTCCAGATGAGAGTTAACAGTTTATAAGCTATTTATAGAAGTAATGGGAAGATGTACTTGTGATCAGTTCTTACAAAGAATTATATCTTATAGTTGGGTCTTATTGTCTATATGCGTATATGCTTTGCGAATAACGATATAGAAATGAAATGCGAAGTATGAGATAATTTGAGAATCCAGTAAATACCAAGTAATGATTATATAACATAAAGTATAAAAGTTTCTATTAATCTTCCACTCTCCTCACACTAAAATGTAGATAAACACGAGATATATCTCCAGTCATGTTTCATTTCAAATATTTATGACAGTGTGGTCACAACTTTCAGTCTCCTTCCTTCACTTGAGCTGTCTCGTTGACAGTGTGCTGTTCAACTGTGATCAAAGATGTTTTTCTTATATTATATTATACATAATGTTAATTATATTATATTATATTATATTAGGGTATTATATTATATTATATTGCAGAATTTAATTTATATCTCTAACTGTAGTATTAATAAAATTTTCTCTTGGCCAACGTGTACATTTCAACACTTAATAAATTTATTTTATTAAAATATATTTAAAAATGTCTTAGAGCAATGAAATGAAAGCAATAAGTGATTTAATTAGTATCAGTGGTGTGTGTGAGCGCTTCATAAGCTTACTGATTAATATCGCATGCTACTTATAATCTATATATGTGGCATACAGTGATAGAAACTTTGACTTTGACAGCACGTGAGCTTCACGAACACGGTCGCGTCAGTTTGAGCGTATCTTCTTGCGTATTGATGTGTACTTCTCGGGAGTCTAAGTTTCTATCAAGGGTGCCATAATTCTTAATTCTTTTAATTTTATATTATTATATAGTATTGCTGTGCGGCGAAGAATAAATAAATATCTCTTATTATAATTTATTTTTTTCTTTTAATCGATGAAACACGTATTTATGTAGGAAATACAATCAGATAAAAAACTATCTTATGTATATATACGTATGTGTCATACATTAAATCTTAATCTTAATCTGATTAATTAATTACCTGACGAACGAAATTATATATCTTCATTCTAGATTTCCAGTTTCAACCGAACCTGGACAATATTGAGCTTTCGGTATATATAAACAAAGTGTAAGTATTTCGTTAAGTATAAGTATTTGGCTAACTTAAATATTGGATTCTGCTTTTTAAAAAAGAAGCTTAAAATATATCATTATCCCCCTTGAAATGTCATGTGGTTATGATAAAATTTAATATTTTTATAAAACATTAAATTAAATTTAATATTTTTATAAAATATTAAATTTTACCATAACCACATGACCCATTTCAAAAGGGATAATGGTATATTTTATGTTACTTTTTTAAAATGCAGAATATATAAGTTAGCCAAATAAAATGTATCTATCTTATACAAAACTTTTGTCTATCATCTTTCTCTTTTATGTACTGGTATATGTTTTTCTTATTCTTTTTTTATATATACTGAAATACAGAAAACTCAATGTTGCCCAGGTTCGGTTGAAACTGAAAATCTAGAATGAAGATATATAATTTCGTTCGTCAGGTAGTTAATTAATCAGATTAAGATTAAGATTTAATGTATGACACATACGTACATATACATAAGATCATTTTTTATCTGATTGTGTTTTCTACATAAATTATTATTTATTTCTTTATTTAAACACTGTTTTTTTTTAATTATCCTTCACCAAAATTATATAATGCGTGCTTATTGCGCCCATTTGATATTATAATTGCGCATGGAATTAGTCAAGATTACGAAAATATTTCTTAAAATAATTTCCAGACCAACATAAAGACGATGAATGTAAGCAAGAACTTTGTCACTTGATGTATCCAGTACAATCTGAAATTCATAATATTATTTTAAGCTCAAATGTAAAAATATGTAAATGCGCTTTGTACATCATATATTTGTATTTCATAATAACTGTCAATGATTCAACACATTTCAATTTTAATTAACACTAAATCTCACTAACGAGGTCCATTAAACTCTAAAACCACATTTACGGTCCAGCTAATTTTCTTACGTTACTTTCTGAAAACTGTATATTTTCTGACTTCATTTAGTAAACTAAATAGCGCAAAAAATGTTTTCCCGGGGTTCTATGATGAAAACTGAAAGTGATGCACAAAGAATGTAACTCTTAGGCCTCAAAGAGACAAAAACTTCTCTAAAATTATTTTTTCACATTAGAAAGTCAACTATTGTTTAGGTATTACTTTTGTTAACTTTTTAGCTGCGAATGTTATACATATACGTGCGTATATAATTATTAATATACGGGTATATTAATATAACAATTATAAATATAATAATATATAATATTATTATTATTTAATATATAATAATATATAATGTAATTATATATAAATATAATGATTATTAATATACGTATATAATTATTAATATACGAATGGCAAATATATAAAGTGTTCTGTGTAATGGTCCGTGAGATTTTTGAGGCGCTATCGATAATTTAAAAAAAAAGACTGTAAAGTCAACATTTATTTGTATCATGTAGACTTCCACATACAAAAAAAATAGTTAAAAATTTTATTATAAAAAAGTCAATGACACCTTGAATTCTTCAAATATCAGTTTCTTTCCTTGATATTATAGGGAATTTTAAGTTGAATTGAATACACTCTCACTATTATCGATATTTAATGTTATTTTATTTATTTATGTTATTATTAAATAAAAAATATATTACCTCTTCAATTTGATACGACTATTTTCCAAAGTACTTAAATCATCCTTAAGCAAGTAAAGCCGCACACCTTTGAAATGATCATCCAAATATTTCGACCAATCAAAACCTTTCATGTTAAAGTCGAATAAACACTGATCATTTTTGTCCATGCTTCGCCACATCGCCTGAATGTTATCATCGCTGTGTATCCAATTATGCAAAGTAAAGTAACTAACTGCATCCTGATACTTGTGAATCATATTGTACAATTTCCATATTCTGAAAGAGATGAAATAATGTCGACGAGAATGTTACTCCCATACATACGGTGTTATCTTCAAATACCTTTGCCGAGCACCTATGCATTGTTGAAAGATTTGTATGAATAAAGCGGGCAGCAGGTGGCCAAACCAAATACACATTTTGTATATAATCTTATTTTTTACCAATGTAATAGTTGGCATCCAATAGCAGTGCTTCGTCGGATATTTTCGAACGTTTAATCGTATGTGATTGGTATAATCACCCATAAATAAAGGCGCGTCGTTTGTCGATACGCTATTATAAATTATCATTTTGTCACCTCTCCTGCAATTAGGAAATGGAAGAAATTTAGTATAAAACGTAAGAACTATTTACGTGCGCGCGCTTGCTATAGGAGTGAAAATCCAGACGATGTCTCGATGATTTTGAAAATGAAATAAATTTTATTACGATTCGGGAATTTGGAAAGATAAAGAAAATTTTATCTCTTCGCTGTTAAACAGAGTAACTATGCAAACACATTTCTTTGAAGCCAGATTCTCATTAGTATGAACTTTTACACTGCATTTGACGTATCTGTAAAAATGACGTGCTTATCATGGTGAATCATACTTTTGCGGTTGATTGAAAACATCCCACGCGGCGGCAATTAAAGCATTTATGGTGATGTCGGCAGGTACGAAATTTATTAAACAATCAGAATCGGCCCTGAAAAACCTTGTTAGGCCTTTAGCGATAGACACCGTCACTCCTATTGGTCCATAATAATTATCTATCCATCCCACGAGCGGTTCGCGGACGGTATTCATCACTTAAGGCGAGAAAAATACAAACTTTTAATGTTGTACAAATTTTTAAATAGAATGAAAAAATAAAATATTTGTATAAGAATACAAATTTTCAATGTCTTAATATTAACGTTGAGAAAATATAAATATACTTCCAACCTTGTTCGAAAACCGAATTAAGGCTATCTAACTTTAACAATCTTCCTGAAATAATTGGTCACTCACCGATGGATGGCCGAAAAATTCCGATGGGCAAACTTTCGCTGCTGTCTCTAATAACTACTTCAGCGATTGCTTTTGTGAATGTATAAGTGTTGGGCCACTGTGCGGCAGCTCTGTCAAAAATCATTAGTTGTACTTTCATTTTCTACATAAGTTATACATATTTGTCCAATTTATTTATTGCATTATAAAATGATAAGAATATACACCTTAATATCTTCTCGTCGATCGTGTTTTCAGACGATGTTCGCATTAGAGTAAGAAATTCTTTAGATTCTATGGTATATTTGTAGAAACATTCCTCTATGTGTGTCACCGTGGGCAAGCAGTGAGCAGTTATAGTCGATACGTGAATAAATGACTACAAAAACTTTTTAATTAGAAAGCAAACTCGTTAATTAAAAATTAAAACTTTAGAGACGAATAATTACCTTTAAGTTTGGCATACGTTTGGCCAAGTTCAAAATAGCATAGGTGCCGTACACGTTTATTTTTGCAGCGACTTTTATGTCCTCATTGAAGCGTACAGTCGCCGCTAAGTGGAAAATTATCGATACCTGCAATGAGATAGAAATGGAATCAAAAATTACTATCAAACTCGCGTCAAACATATGCATGTAAGGTGTACTCAGATCAAAAATACATGATATCGCTAAATATATAGGTAAGAGCTATACGAAGCTAAATGTAACATATATAGATTAATAAATAATTTTGTAGAATTGTTGCAAATAAAAGTTACAAGAATATTTAAGAAAGAGAGAGAGGGAGGAATTGTTGCGAGAATTATACATGTAGTTCTATAATTTTTTAGAGTTCCCTTAACCATTCGGCTATATGCTATAACTACAAAATAGTTTATTGAACTCGTTTATTTTAATACAAAGCTCATATAGTTGTTACCTGTATAGTTTCCAGTAAACCAAGAATATTAGACCAACATTTTGAAGTGCTTACTTTTAGTATATCTCTCGAAAGATATACATTCTGTCCAATATTTTAAATTTTTTTCAAACATTATTAGACCATATGTAATCTCTCCAAATATTGCAAACATGTTTCAGTAAGATTGAAAGGTCAAAGTTTTTTATGACGATGTTGATATAACGTAGTAAAATTTAATTTTGATGCGACGATATAAAAACAATATATCAAAAAACATTATCTGCTATTGAATATCGCTGCTATATTGTTGTATCAATAATTTAATCAAATAATTTTTTATTTACTGGGTTTCCAATACCATCAATTTTTTCCGACTGTACAATAAAAGCAACATTGCCAAGAACGATGAGTAGAATTCAAAACATTTACCTTGTTTATCACTAGATCTATGTCATCCTTCGTAAGTCCTAGGTTTTTTTCGTACAATTCGTTGACTTGCACGAGCGGCACGACTTTGTCACGAAAGTTAGGCGTCTCTTCCCTCAGTCGATCGAATAGCTACGGATTATCGTTATAACAGTATATACCCAGATAGCCAAATCTGCGCGAACAAATTTCGAGCAGAGCTTGCTATCAACTTTTGATAGCAAATAGATAACAAATTTAATGCAGGATCTGTTATATCAAAGCTTGCTGCCAAATTGCCGTCAGATTTGTGGCAGAGCTTGTTGTCGGATAATTGCTGCAGATTTGCAGCAAAAACCGCGCAGAGCTTGTGGCGATTTGACGACAGATTGGCAGCAGAAACCGCGCAAACGTTGCTGCGCTGCAAGCTTTGCATAGTTTTTGCTGCAAATTTGGCACTATTTGTCCGACAGCAAAATCTGTCACCAAGACCGTAGCCTAATGTAGACACAGATGGCTATGGTTTTGCTGTAGGTTTTTGATTAAATTTGCTGCCAATCTGCGCGCAGTCTGCACTCAATTTGCTTACTGGGTAAGGATATACCGCAACAAATTTACAAGATTTAGCATCATTATATATTACTTATGCCACTACTGGGAATTACTTGAACTTTCGCGGCGATTTTCAAAAGCTTTATCTACTCACCTTACCCTGCCACTCACGCTCACTCACGAAGCTATGCAACTGACGTTCGCCAAGCTCATAGCCTCATGAGTGTGAATAATTAAATCTTATAAAAAAACGCGTTAATAATAGTATGTTATGGCTAAATTGAAATCTATTATGATATTATATTTACAATCTCATACATATGATACGTCATACGCCTCAGATATGTAATAACTATAACTAACAAAATAACTAACAAAATTTTATGCATAAGAAATTATTTTCAATTAGATCCTTTTAGCTTTAGAAAAGATCCTTAAGGATGGTCCCTATGAGGAGATTCAAATTGCCTGAAGCTGAATACTGTAAGTGTAAATTGCATGCTTCTTCAGACAAGCAAGAGCAAGAGACCAGGAGAGATGATTAGACATAGACCTCAAAAATCGCTTCGAAAAATTAAGTAATTCCTAACACTCGTTATGCTTACGGAACTCTCGAAAATTTCGACCAGTCTGCTCGTGGCACTCTTGTGTTTCTTTGATCTTATCACCACATATATCTTAGAGATATTGGGACAACTTCGCAGCAATTTTTCAATCAAGACCTTCCCGAGAAATCCAGTTCCGCCTAATTAATCATATTCCTCCATTATTGTTTGACCGATTACGTCAACTGATAGATCTGATTTTCGGTTTTTGATGTTCTATCCATTGTGAATTTGTTTTCAACTTTTTGTAAACATTTCAATGCATTTCGTCAAGGAAAGAAACGAACTGAAACTGTTAATTGGGTCAATGTCATCCAAGTATTGACACCGTTAAGCTTAAAGTTTTTCCTCTTTTTGAAGAAAAATACTGAAATGTTCACGGAAGGTCGGGAACAAATCTTCGAAGAATGCGCCAGTAATCCGGGATCTAAATCGAGTGCTTCTCTATATTGGTATGTGTGTCAATTTTTATCTAACATTTCTTTGTTGATCGCATTGTACATATACAATAATAATTTGTACAATAAATACCTGTAATGAAGATCGTCTGGTTCGCGTAGAACTTTTGTATCTGCGTTTCTTGAATATTGGTCTTGTTCCTACAATGTACTATTTTGGATTGGTTGGAATCGTTAGTATCTAACAAATCGTCACTCATCCTGTCAGTATCTGTGTTCGGTACTTGCATGAAGTAATACTGATTTACCTCACTTACTTTAATTTCAGCTATGATCTGCGAGTGGGTGTATGTAAGGGAGACACTAATTTCACTAATTTCACTAAGACAATACGTCTCTTATATATTGTAAGAGCTAAACCTGTTTCGTTTTTGCATACGTGACGACAATACTGATCGGAAAACCTTCGGACATCGGAAAACCAGTTTAAGTGCATAGCAAAAGAGAGAGAAAGATGCAAGGTTATGGAGCGATCGAATGCACAGATTTTTTCCGTTCCTTCCAACGAACACTTTACTAACAAGTTATAAATTTTACAATATAGATTCTCGAGTTCGTGATACAATGAAGGAATTCGTCGGAGAGTCGAAGATCCAGGGATCCGACGGACCCCACAGAAATCGTGAGCCTCGTACGATGTTTTGTGACGCGAAAATAGTAGCGCTGGATGGATAGCTTCCGAGACGACAATCGAGTCGAAAGAAGGTCGCTCGGAAGAGAGTGAAAGATTAATTTGCGTGACGAGGGCTATGTAGACCCAAGAAGAACGAACAGTAATCAGTAAACGACTTTTCGCGAATCGCCGCTCGCTAACATTTATTAACAGGAAACCGCTGCAATCGCAGATTGATCTGCGTGACCGGAATTATCAGTTAGAATTTAAACATTCGAGGACGTATGAAGCATACGAGAAGCTCGTGATTGCGTTGAGCGTGTGTTGTCGTGACCTGCCCGCGTCGAGTCGTCGTAACTGTTGTTTATTTATCCGCGAATTCAGCAAGCCCAAGACGGGATCGACACGCTCGATCAACATAGATATGTAGTATCAGCACAACCATGTGGTTTTTTATGTAACTGTTATGTGTTATATAACATGTACAGAACATGTGTTATATAACATGTAACAGTTACATGAAATAATATATGGTTGAGCTGACATTCAAACACAAATGTTATGTTACTGATACTTGTAGTTCGCTTGTGGAGAGCAGGGAAAAAGAAAAATTTTCCGTGCTCCACTACAAATTATCAATGGGCTCAGAAGGAAATCTCCGTAGCCGTGATTTATCAGTCTACGTTACAAATTACAGCAAAACATATTTAGAAATTTTTCTGCTGCGTAAAAATGTTGACGTAATATACGATTTCGTTTTTTTTCGTTTTTGCTAGTTATACTGTTATACATAACATGAATGTACGTAACTCAGTGCTCCAGATGAGAGTTAACAGTTTATAGGCTATTTATAGAAGTGATAGTAAGATGTATTTGTGATCAGCTTTTACAAAGAATTATAGCTTATAGTTGGGTCTGTATGGACCCAAGTTATCAGCAGTGGCCGATGATACACTTTTGGTCTACAGAAGGAATACGCAATTCCCCCTCTATATATATATGGTCTAAGATTCTATCGGTAAAGTTTTAGCTTTAGCATCTCCTTAGGCCCGATCTACAATAGATGGAGTAAGGAGTAGGAGTAAGACGAAACGGAAATAATTTTTTTCGCTTACTCCCTTATTCCAGCTCCTTACTTCAGCTTTTACTTCTCCGGGCGGGACGCCTTACCATTCAGCCACCGAGGCTTCGACAGCAATCTCGCAACACAATGTTTATAAGTTCTCTAAAATGTAAGTTGAGAGAGAACGAAAGAGTCGATCTCGTAAGAGATGTTATTATACGAGAGAGATAGCATCTTCCTGCCGATGCTTAAGATAAACAATAGAAAACTCCTTGAATAAATAAACTAATAGTGAGATATGTAACGGCACACAAGGAGCAAGCACGGATGTCTTAGTGCTATTAAATACTAATATTATTTTTTAATATTA